TGACTAGGATCTAAGATGATTTTCGACATACTTCCTATACTATGCTATTTCACTATTTAACTTTGATTAACTTTTGCAATTTGTAGTTATGATAATAGATATACTTCGTCATTTGGGAGTTTGTTATCATCTCATTGTATTTTTTCATAATTTTAACTTTTTGTAATTTTACTTTTCGATAAGAAGATATATAATCTTTGAACTTGAATTGTGAATTAACATAAGTGATAAAAGAAACGTGTTAACTAAAATATAAGAAATGTATTTTTAATTAAGAATTAATATATTTTAATGGTCTAATAATAGCTAAGCTAAATTTTTGAAGATGTTATGAATGGATTGGAAAATTCTTTTTTTAGTATTAATTTAAAACGATTTGATACATGATCATCAGTCCTTAAAGCTCCACGTATGTGATCTGGAAGAATTTTGCATTATTAGTAGAAAAGTGCAAGCAAATTATTTGAGTTATCGGATTATTGATGAACTTTCTCATATTAGTGCCAGCTAATGACTGTGAAATATTAAATTAAAAAGTAATACAAAGTATGCAATAATCGATCATTTAATATATTTGGATAATAAAGATAATTATACCACGACCACTTTGCATGTACTCCTATTTTATTTACTATATAGCATGTAGTCCTTACTTTTTTTATGGTGGACAAATGTGAAATGGCACTACTTCAGGAACTAACCCAGTTTTTTTGGGTGGCTGAGTGGCAAATTGCAATAGTACTAATGTACAATTGATATGTTGTTTCTTGAAATTAAATTGGCAATAATTCAACTAATATTCAACAATTGCATTCCTTTATAGGAATTCACTAGTAGCATTTGTGTATGATCTCTTGACTCTTGCTCTAAAGTTCCTTGAAATGCCATCTGGCACTAGAGGTGCACTAGTACCCCCGACCCTTGGGCATCCAAATGATCCGTTCAGATATATTCGGTCATTACATGTATGCATGCATATGTCTAGTTCAAAATGCTTAATTGGTTTAAGTCTAGATTGATTTTCTTCATCCCATTTTAGATGTTTAGATGTTGAAATAAAGAAACAATAAAGGAGACTATAATTATTTGTGTCAAAAATTTTAATCATGTAACAATTAGTCATATGCATATAATTCTTAAATAATTTGACAAATACAAGAAAAATGTATGTACAAACCAACATCAATCAATATACTTAGTATTTTCAACAATATATATATATATATACTTAGTATACAATTCAAATCTATTAACTATTATTAAAATAAAACGTTGATGACGTCGTCACTGTTCACATGTCACTCACATAATAAATTTTTTCTCGCCTAAATGCAAAAATGATGTCATCTGATATTAGAAGCTTCTACATTACAAACACAACCTATCAATTTATCTTTAAAAAATGAAACAATTGTAAATACCACACTAATAAATGGAATCCTACATTGAAATATGTATTAGGAGATGTTGAACAGGTGTTATATTATAATTTTGATGAAAATCTAAAACTATAAAATTATAAATATTTTTGTATAAGGTGCATAATTCTTATTTACATTTATCCATTTTTTTTAAAATATACAATTATAAAATAGATTTTGTATAAATTGTACATTACACGAATTTTAACCTAATTTTGTACTAATAGTTTATGTTTATACTTTTTCAAATTAGTTCTTTCAAATAAAGTTATGGAAAATTGTGGGAAATTTGAATAACAAAGATCGATCTAATGATAACATTATTTACAAGAAATTTATACTATAATGCGAGTTGGTTCTTTATAAACAATATGAATATTCGTTACTATGCAAAAATACTTTAGCATCGGAATTATTGAAGTACATTCAATCTAATCCACCAATTATAAAGCTACCTAATTATTATTCCTAGGATGATTCTGACCTTATAGGCTGTATACCACGCACTTTCACTAAATCTAATGACTTGTAGTGATTCCTTACAAAGTTACAAGAAAACGACAAACAACATGTTTTAGATTCAATAATAACAAGACTTTTTACTAGAGTAATATACAAAATTAATTAATCCTAGCTAAGGTGTTGTTTGCTTAATGTGGGAATTTAATTTTTATATTATTTTATGGGAAGTTAATTCCTTAATGAAATACCTAGGAATTTCTTAAATATTTTTGGTTGATAATAAGGGAGATTGAATTCCCATGAATTTTGGTTTACTTAGGAGGAACTAGGTAATTTACTTCTCATATTTTGTGGGAAGTTGAAATTCTCGTGAATTCTCACTTCCCCCATTTTTGTTTTTTTATGTCAACCAAACAATTACTTATTTTATTAATTCCCATGAATTTCCAATTCCTCCATTTTACAATGTCAACCAAATAAGGCCTAAAAGACTAGATGAGGTTAACATTACTAGACTAGATGATACAGAGTCATAATGTCTTCGAATTGATTTTGGGGAGAAGTCTAAATACGTTTAATATAAATTTTTATAAGATCAATAATCCATGCAACACTTATTCCTTACTTACATTGTTGATTATATGAATATCACTATCTCTTTAAATTCTTTACTTTATTTATCACTGAACTCAAGATAGCGACGAGTTTATTATGTACAAGTATGATTGAGGGTTAATTTTGGTGCAATTCATATGTCCATGTTTAAACCCTAAGGGGTTTTTTTCTCCCTCGCTCTCATAAAGGCAATATGCTCAAGAAGTCTTAGAGCGAGCATGTTTATTTCATTTGTGTATAATGTGTAACACTGATTGAAATCAAGGACGTTAAAGATTCAAAGTGCGTGGCCTATACTCTAAATATATGTACTAATTATTTTATATAATATATGTACTATCTTATAGAACGGAGGGAGTCTTACATGATTTTAGAGATGAGAGTGATTTCACAAGGGAGTTCACCCATATACAATAACATCTTAAAAGTGCAGCACTTAATTAAGTTCCTAATCTCTCATCCTAACCATAAAAAGGGATTCCAAAAGCTTTAATTATATATAATGGAGCTCATGATCAAAAGTTTTTCCTATTAATTATTGATCTCCTCATAATTTGGGGAAACATCTAAATGAGATACTATTTTTGTTTGTTTATTTAGACGACAATTCCATTGGATAATTATATTCTGTAAAGTGAATCTCACATTATTAGCTATTCAAAATGCATGTTTAGCTCAAATTATAAAATAATTAATCGTGTCAAATCTACCTAAAGCTAGGATCTAATATAAGTATATTGATATTGATCCTTAGGCTTAAGATAAGATATAATATAATAAAAATATTACATGTAATAAGTTACCAAAGTTCATGTAAATAAAATAGTCGCTAAACTACATTAACATTTTAATTAATTAGGATTTGGTGTTCTAAGATTGTGTTGCCCAGCTGGTTAATTGGATAAACGATATATATGAGTCATATGCCCTATAGTTATCCCCTTAACCATTTTTAATTACAATTATTTCTTAAGCTCTTAAAAGATATGATGTTGATGTACAACATATTTCTATATATATTTGGTACATAGATTTGAGGGTGCATGATTTTGACGTTAATCCTTGTAAAATAGAGGTCTCAAAATTAATTTTCTTAATGAGACAGTAGCCAATATTAATGTAAATACAATACAAAATATAAATTTTATACCTCATAGTCGTCATGAGTAAATTAACTTCGATACGATTAATATACAAGGATTAAATCGCTCACATTCGACCTGATATTGTATTTATGATTGTTTTATATGTATCATTGTCTATGTTCTTCTCAAACTAGTGCTTTTATCGAAACAAACATAAATTCTTATCCAAATACAAAAGATATGTTTAAGTATAAAATTTTATAGTTTGTATATAAGCCTTTTTTTTCACCCACTTTTCTCCCCTTTAGCATCTTCGATCGTGTCTAAATGAGATATGAAGATCTTAGATTATATCTTTATCTTTTTTGCTTTTGAGCTTTGTGCAGAAGCAATTATTTTTATTGCCAATAATGTACTCTAGTAGGTTTTTAGTGGTTCCATGTTTGGTTGAGTGAAAAAAAGTCACCCTTCTTACAAAAAACAAGTTAAAAATCAAATAGAGGAAGCTACATTATTTGTCCTAAGCTAGGAAATTTATGAAAGTATTTCTTGTACAAAACGATTGTATGATAAAATAAGTGACTTTCATTGTAACGCTTTGACTAACAAAAGTATCTAGATTACTCCTAGATATATGGCATTTTGAGACGATTGACTCAAGCCCAATTAGGGTTGAGGTCTTGAGAGTTGAGGATGTTACATTATTCACAATATGTAGGGGTGTATCCTTGTATGTGACCTTGGCATTAAACCATCTCATGCTATATTTTTTCATATATATTTAATATTTTCTAGTTAAGTCCAAAGCGTAGTCTGAGTTTGTCCTATAAATTTATGATTTACTTATTCTAAATCAAGATATTTCAAGCTGTTCAAGCTAAGGATAGAAGTCAAGTGTGGCAATCCGATGAATTTGACCTTCATGTAATTTTGTTCTTAGTCCAGAAAGTCAAGATAGAAATCTTTTCATTTTCGACTATTCGTCATGCGTATCATGAATCAGATAGTATTGTCGAATATCTTGATTTCTACATTGATGTCTTAGCTAAATTGGTTACATTACTTTATTTAGTACATTTAATCATTTTAATTCATTCTCCACATTTTCAAATATAATAAGGTCTCAAATATCCCGAAACTTGTGCGACCATATAGACCATATGCCCCTAAGTTAGCCGTGTCCACATGAATAAGTTTAGCATTAGCATTATGGTTGTTGGCCTTGTAGCTCATGCACTAAACATGTTACAATTGCTGTCAATTGATCGTACCAACCTAAATAGATAATTAGATGTGGACTGTTTCCTTGTAAATCACTTTCCTGTTTTTCACATGAAATTATTTCCTAGCGAAATTCATCTCAAAATCATAAACTTAGTTTTCAAAAACAGAGTGAAATTAGCAAATTGATTGTGATACTTAGTTCACTAATCTCCCCCACAAACTTATTCTGATACGATATTGTAATACGTATATTGAGTTATATAACAAAATTAGGTAACGAATTGTGATACCGTACCTATTACCTGTATTAAAACCTCGTTGCGAGTCAGGTAACACTGACCGTAGAGTCTAATGTTAGCCCGTCAATTATTTTTCAAAACCCACCTTACATCAACCCCTCAATGGCTACTGTGCGTTGGCAAATATTATTCAATCAACCACCATGCACACCATGTGTTCGACAAAAGTCCTCAACGGAATTCTACTTCTATCAGCAACTACATGCTTACTTGCATACGTCAAAACCTTGGTTACAGAGCTCTAAATGTGTTCAACGCAGAACTGCAGAATAATTATCTTAATGGGATTGATGAAGACGCGGTTGCTATCGCCTTTAAAGCTTGTCGTGGGGATCCGAAAGCGGGTGCAATGCTTCACAGCTTTGCTGTGTCATCTGGGTTTATTCAATATCGATCAGTGTCAAATTCTTTGATGAGTTTTTACTGTAAATCAGGGCAATTTGATCGCGCTCTTTGTATATTTAGCAGCATGAATGACCCTGATACTGTTTCTTATAACACAGTTCTGTTGGGGTTTCAGAATACAGATGATGCTTTGTGTTTTGCAGCTGATATGAATGCAAAAGGCGTTGTTTTTGACCCTGTTACTTACACTACCTCGCTGTCATTTTGTTTGGATGATAAAGGGTTTTTATTTGGATTCCAATTACACACAAACATAGTGAAATCGGGGTTTAAATGTGAGGTTTTCATTGGCAATGCGCTTATCACATTGTACTCAAGATGGGGTCGAATAATCGAAGCTGAAAGAGTGTTTCATGAGATGCCCACCAAGGATTCAGTATCTTGGAATGCGATACTATGTGGGTATAGCCAAGATGGAAGATATGGTTTGGAAATGATATGTACATTTTGTGCAATGTTGAGAGATAATGTGAGACCAGATAATGTCTCAATAACTGCTGCAATTTCTGTTTGTGGATATGATAGACTTTTGGAAATGGGTAGGCTGCTACATGGTTTGAGTATAAAGGCTGGATATGGAGCACATTGTGCTGTTTGTAATATTTTAATGTCAACTTACACAAAGTGCGAGGAAAATGAAGATGCCAAGCTAGTATTTCAAACCATGTCTGAAAGAAATGTGGTTTCTTGGACTACAATGATTTCTGTCTTTCAAGAGCATGCACTTTCCCTTTTTCATGATATGAGGATAGATGAAGTCTACCCGAATGAAGTGACCTTTATTGGATTACTGCATGCCATTACACATGGGGATTTGTTCAATGAAGGTCGAATGATCCATGGGTTTTGTCTAAAGACTGGCTTTGTGTCAAAATTGAATGTGTCTAACAGTCTGATCACCATGTATGCGAAGTTTGAGTCAATGGGGGATTCACAGAAGGTTTTTGAGGAGCTTCAGTGCCGAGATACTGTGTCTTGGAATACTTTGATATCTGGATATGACCAAAACAAGATGTACCAAGAAGCTCTTGAGGTATTCTGCTCAGCATTATCTGAAACCCTGCCAAATGAGTATACATTTGGCAGTGTTTTGAGTGCAATTGGATCTGCTGAAGCAATTTCACTCAGGCATGGTCAAGCAAGCCACTCTCACTTGTTGAAACTTGGACTGAATTCCGATGCAATTGTTTCAGCTGCTCTCCTTGATATGTATGGAAAGCGAGGCAGCCTATATGAGTCCAAGAGGATTTTTAGAGAAACCGTTCAAAGAACACAATTCGCTTGGACAGCAATAATATCAGCCCACGCAAGACATGGGGACTATGATTCTGTTATGCAAATATTCAATGAGATGGGAAACCAAGGTGTAAAATCTGATTCTATCACTTTCCTTTCGATGTTGACAGCATGTGGGAGAAAGGGCATGGTTGATATGGGCCAACAGATTTGGGACTTGATGATCAAAGATAGTGTGATTGAGCTATCAGCCGAGCATTATTCTTGTATGGTGGATATGTTGGGCCGTTCAGGAAGATTAAAAGAGGCAGAGGAATTGCTTCATCAAATTCCTGAAGGGCCATCATTTTCGGCCTTGCAGAGCTTGTTAGGGTCATGCAGAACTCATGGGGATATAGAGATGGGTCAGAGAATGGCCAATGCTTTGATAGAAATGGAGCCTACAGAATCGGGTTCTTATGTTCTAATGTCAAATTTGTATGCTTTAAATGGAGACTGGGAGAAGGTGGCTATACTGAGGAGGAAGATGAGAGATAGCAGAGTTAAAAAAGAAGTTGGATTGAGCTGGGCTGATGTAGGTAATACTGATGGTTCATTGAGTATGCATGGTTTCTCCTCAGATGATACATCTCATCCAAGGTCGGAGGAAATCTGCTATATGGCAGGATGGTTAGGACTCGAAATGAAAGTGTTTGAGAAAGATGAAGAGCTTCTTTGATCTCAACTGAAGCTGAAAACATAAAATTTTGCAGGATGTTAAGATAGCTATTACACACTTATGTCTCCGAATTCTCTACACATGAGAAGTTTCGTACGTAAGTGCCTGAAACACATCACATGTAGTTTGAACTGTTTGCCACTGAGCTGCTGTACATCAAATTAACCCTTTGATATACAGAAATTTATCAGCAAAGCTGGAAGATTGGCACGAAAGCGTTGAAATCCAAGAGAAATCTATTATCCAGATAATGAATTTCCTCTGTCAGAAATACAGGAAAGAACCTATATCAGTTACCACTGCATGACAGATTTAAACCATAATGATATTAGATTATCAGGAACAAAAAAGGGGAAAAATATATTAAAAAAAACGTGAGCGGCAGGATTCGAACCTGCGCGGGCAAAGCCCACATGATTTCTAGTCATGCCCGATAACCACTCCGGCACGCTCACTTTGCTGATGTATAACAATTAATTAGCTATGATATTAATCATTCTTATATTTCTATGAATAACTAATCCCACACAAATCAATCATTAAGACTGGTTTAATGGAAAAATGCTTAATTTTACGTAACTAAATCAATAACACATTAACACTACTTGTTAAAATGTATTCATATGACGTACAATCATACATAACTCTCAAGACCAAAAACAAGTAAATTGAGCTATATTTTTAACTCCTGTTTCGGATGAAAACAATCGAATCTCGGAAGATCCTTTTATCTTGAGGGAACTTGGTCTCGGTCCGAACGACGCAGGAGCCGAGGGTTTCCTGCACAACAAATACACGTAAACTAGCCTCGGGGGGGACGCCGAGGAAGGCCCCTCCGATGCTTAAGTCAGTATATTAGAGAGAGAAAGCTGTGCAAGAGTTTAGTTGCTTGAGGCTTTATTGTCTTACCAAGAATTGACCAAATTGTTGGCTTTTATACCTTGGCTAATGAAGGAGGCGGATTGGGCCCGGAAGTCAGTTGGGCTGGGCCAAGCTGATTGGGCCGTTGACTGACCTTGACATGGCTTTGAGGATGTTGATTTTTGACTTTAGCACATTTGGAGAGTTGAACCTTAACCTTGGGCTTTTAATTGGATCATTCAGTGACCAGGCCCAATTGGACTAAATTGGACCCAAACAACTTGCCCCCCAGACCCGATTTGGAAGGATGACGGGTCGGGTTTGATTTAATCAGAAAAGGAGGGAAGTGAATGATTTGTTAATCCAAAAATGTGAATTTAAACCGTAATTAACCCATGATTAATGAGATAACAACAGTTAATGTGGATAATTGCGGAAGTTGGACGGGTAGTGGGCGATTTAACTGCAAGGTCGTGTGTTTAACGGTTACTTAGTGGGGTGCTTGAGAGAAATTGAAACGCAGACTCCTTGAATTCCCATTTCTGGAGATATAAATAGAGGCGCGTCTTCTCTCCCCACTCATTCATCAACACAAACCCAGAATTCTCAAGAGCGCTCAAGAGCCCGCATCAAAACTTCGCAAATTCCCCGAGCATTAAGCTTAGAAGCTGAGACTTGTCACTACCAATTCGTAAATCGGCGGCTTTTGCTTCAGATCAAGGTAAATTCCTTTGATTTTATTTCATTTTTCTTCGACTTTGCACTCTTTCCCCTTTTTCGACTTTTTCCTTCGAAATTCGTCAATGGTGAGGGGAGTTAGAGGTGGAGCCCGTGCTCCAAGAAGAGCAAGGCTAATCCCCGATCCCAGGGACAGGATTGGGACCTGGAATGGACGAAGGACAGAGTCTGACCCTGCTGATGGGATTAGGGCGACTCCCCTTTCCTCGGCTCCTCCTCAAAGAACGGATGAGCCGAGTGCTTCTGGACGGGACGATGAAATTCCCGCTGTCCTTTGGGATATCCTCCCTGGGTTTTCAGAGTGGGAGAATGCCGAAGTCGCTTCGGCCATGATAAAGAACCGCCCCTACTCATGGTGGGTAGAGAACGCCGATCAATATCGATTTGCCGAGCAAATTGAGTTGCACTACGGCATTTTTGAAGCTGATGGATATTGGTGCCGAATGCCCTCAGCATCCGATAGAATCCATCGTCCACCCCCGGGGTATGTGGGGGTGTACACGAGACAGCTTCAGTATGGGCTGAGGTTCCCTTTGGACGTATTCGTCCGAGACTTGCTGATCCATTACAACATTTCCCTGTGCCAGCTGACCCCCACCAGCATCCGAAGGGTAATGACGTACTTATGGGTCTGCAAATTCTTCAGGTACGTGCCGAACCTGCATTGCTTCAAAAGGCTCCATCGGCTAGTGCCAAACATTCAAAGTGGGCACGGATGCCATGGCTCTGGGTGGTATCGGATTGAGTCTCGGCCCCCGTTCCTAACCATGTGGCCGAACGACTCTTCAGACAAGGACTGGAGAGGTCAATGGATTTGGGTTAGGGCACCCACGGAGCCGAGCCACCCTTACGTTTTCAGCGCTCCCCGGTATCTTGCCGAGCCGGATCCTGATATGGGAAGTTTAGGTCCTCCCGAAGATAGCGGGCCAGACCCGAACCTTAATCAGCAGAACATCTTCGGCAAGCTGCCGAACCGGGGAGGCAGCGGCCGAATGCAGCATATCCCGGAGACTTGGCTCCCCGATACGCACTATGTTTTCCAAGAGAATATGCTGGCAGCTGTCGGCCTCAGCCGAAAGTTTAGGGATGGTAATCTTCTTCGGCTGGGGCCGAGGCCTTTTAATTATCTCTTTTCTTCTTTCATTTTGCTTTCTTGTGATGTGCCGAACTAACTGAATTGACTTCTCCCCTTTTCTTTTTCAGAACGGGACGAGACCAACGTCGGCATTGATTACGCTCGCCTTGGCGTCAACCGAGAACGAGTCGTAACTGATCGGGCTCCCCCTATCACTGAACCAAGGCGCCGAGAGGTTCACCTAGACTCTTCCCACTTCCAAATTGAGGTTGTTGCTCTGTATCAGAGGCAGAAGCCTTGGTGGAAGAAGAGAGATCCCTTGTTTCAGCTGCTGGAAGAAGAAGCTGAAGCTGCCCGTACAGCCGAAGAGGTTGCACGGGTTATTGAAGCTTGTGAAGGTGGAGAAGGGTCCTCCAGAGTTGCTGAAGAAGCTGCGGCTAGGGCAGCTGAAGAAGACGAGGCTTTGCTGAAGACCTCGGTGAGCCTTTAGACTTAACTTTGTCTTTCTTCTTCTTTTTTTTTTTTTTTTTTTTTTTTTTTTTCACATTCTTCCCCCTGCCTGCCCTTTACAGTCTGAAGAGAGCAGCAGACACAGGGAAGGGAGAGCCCCTGTTCGTCCCGAAGACCAAGTACAAGAAGAGTCTTCAGACTCGGGTATGGACGAGCAGCCGCTTCAGAAGAGGCGCCGAAGAATGGCCATCATCGGCCCGCATGACTTTCAGCGGAGGCCGATGACCATCGGCGTTGAAATAAGGGAACCCGAGGAAGGCAATGGATCGCCGAGGGTTCCCCGGCCACCGCCTCAATCACCCCCAAGGGCCTCTCCGCCACCCCCCGAGATGGAGGTGGATCAGAGAACTCCCAAACCTAAGGGAGAGGTTCTGGAAGAAGCTCGAGAGAGTGCCGCCGAGGACAAGGATGGAGACGCCGTGATGCCCAGTGCTGAGGGTTTCACGGCGGACATTGCCAGAGAGGTTGGGGCCTTCGTCCTCACACCTGAAGAAGAAGAGGTCACAATAATTGACTCTTCTGAGAAGGAGGAGGACGTTGAGCCACCCAAAGCTAAAGAGGCTCCATCGTCATCCTTCCCTTCCTTCCAGACGCTGCAGTCTGGAGAAATGGGTTTCTCGGCCCCCCGAATTCCAGTCCCAGACCACATCTGGGACCTCATATGGGGTCAGAACCGAGAAGGTGCTGCAGCCTACTTCGGCGATTTTGCTGGCCTGTCCGAAGTAGATAGGGCAAGGATTTGGTCGCTGAAGGCCACTGCTGGGATGGGCGAATCCAGCAGATCAGTTCCTGACCCTGCCAGGTCCAACCAACTGCTGATGATGCAGGTAATTCTCCTTGCCTTGATTTCTTTCTGAACTCAACCTTTCAGCTATTATTTTTTACTTTTTTAACTTGTGCCCCTGTTTTCAGTTCGTGCACAATCAGACTCTCACTGTAGAGCTGATAGATTCCCTACAAGATAGGGTGGACGCTGCCGAGCACGATCAAAGGGTAGCCGAGGAAGAGCTAAAGCTTGCTAAGCTGAAGCAGGCAGCAGCTGAAGAGAAGCAGCAGAAGGCTGAGGAGTACGAGAAAGAGGCTGCTGAAGCCCTCCAGACCTTCTGCGACGCTATGGAGAAGGAAGTTTTTCCCCCACTGATGGAAGGGGAAAAATTCCTCCAAGAGCACCTGGGGGTGGACATCTCCAAGTTCAAGGCTGCTATCGAGAGCCGAATCCAAGAAGGAGCTGCTGCACAAGCTGAAGTGCAGCATCAGCTAGAATCTCTTGAAGCCAGCAGAATGGCTGCTGAAGAGATGCTCCAAGCTAGGGATGTCCAACTCTCAAGGGCTGCTGCTGCTGCTGAAGCTCAAAGAGCTAAGCTACAAGAGGCTGAGGATCAGCTCACTGCCAAGAAGGAAGAAATGGTCCAAGTTCAGGCCGAGGCTTCCCGGGTTCAGCAAGAGTTTACCGAGCTGAAAGGCTCCTCCTCCAAGCTCGTCGATGAGCTGAAGAGATCCGAGGAAGACTTGGAGGAGACGAAGAAGAAGTTGGCCGATGCTGAGGCTCTACTCAAAGTCCGTATCTATACCCAAGAAGAGTATGAAATGGGTTTTAGAAACGGGTTCAGAGTGTGCCGAAGGGTCTGCCTTCATGCTGAGCCGAAGCTGGACTGGTCCAAATGTGCTGAATGGGTCCAAGATCCCGAAGACCCTCACATGAAGTATGCCACTCCAATCGAAGCTGAAATCCTTAAGGCTGAGGAAGCAACGGAAGAAGCTGAGAGGATGGAGTTGGAGGCTGAGCAGAGGGAAAGGGAGGCTCGGCAGAGTGCAAAGCCTGCTTCTTCTGCTGCTGGAGCTGAGACCACCATTGGGCCCAATGAAGCTGATCAGTCTGATCCTCAGGCTGAAGCATAGGAACTCGGGCAGTCGTCTTCAGAATCTTGCGGTTCATCATGCGCTCAACTTTAGACTTGCCGCTTTCTGAATTTTTGCCTTTTGTTTTTTTTTGCTTCAGCTTGCCTTATCGTACAACAGCTTATTATATTTTTAGTTTGCCTGTACGTATTTCGGCAGCTGTTACTTTCCGCTTGTGGGCGGCTGCCGACTATTTTTGTAATTCAACATTTTTATTTCAAAGAAGTTCACTTTCTCAGCTTTCTTGTGTATTTTTTTTTTTCTTCGCTTTACCAGTCTTCGCACTTTACTGCTTTCTTTGAATGATCTTTCAAATATTTGCTAAGTGCAGAACTTCGGCTAGCGAGAATCATTTCTG